GCAGCAGCAGCTTATATTGCAAGATCAAGGCCCGTGAGCTGTGCAATAGAGAGAGAAAAAAAAGTGCTGCAGCTGCGTGGCCCCAAGAGCTCTAATAGTGGCGTAGCTGCGCGCGATACATATATGCATACAGCTGTAAGGGAGTATAGTATAGAGCTTCGCGATATTGCGCCGGCGAGATCGTTATAATAACACGATGCCTAGCTCTGGCGCTCATCGGCTTCAGCATCAGCAGATATGTTCAGCGCTGAAATCTTCCTGGATGCACGCAGCTCGCACACACACATGTACACACACACACACGTATAGCACGAGTGCTTATAATGCAAAGCAGGTGCAGGCCAGCCTCTTGTTGCACCTATATACAAGATGATACCAACGCTGCTGCTGTGTTGCGATACTTTTGGCTCGCTCGCTGGCTTTTTTTCTGTCGTCGTGCTCGCTTTTTTGTCGTATTTCTGCTGATCGTAATAACAGCTCGCGCTGCTACTCGAGCGAAGCCCGTTGACATGTTCGTATTCGTGCGCGCGAGTATACCTCGATATATGCACACGAGTCGCGGAGAGCCGAGGCAACTGCAAAATAAAAAACTGCAAAGGACCGAGAAATAGAGGCTAATACCGCTGCACAGGGCCGCTTGAATAAAGCATTTAAATTAGCCCAAAGTACGAATTTCACGTAGCGCACAAGAGAGAGAGGGGGAGAAGTGACTTTCAAGATATACACGCACAGGTACACATGTATGTACCTGCAGGCAGGAACTTATAACATGTGCACATGCACACCTGCACTATGTCATTGTGTAACACGAGTCTTGCATGCTAAATCAGCAGAGAATGCTTTGATTAACTCGGCCCGAGCGAGCTGCGAGCTGCGAGCAAGCGACCGACTATATACACACGTGTATATAGCTAGTGCAGCGCAGCACACACATATCATGTATGTATAAACACACGCGCGCGTGGACGAGCTTACGAGTTTGCCCGCCCGCCCGCGCACATACACAGCCGAAAATGATGCGATAAATAAAGTCTAATTTTACAAGTGACCCGCAACTTCTTCTTGTTATCGTAATTACTGTATACAATTTTTACACGCTCCGACGCCCGGCTAATTGGCCATACTTTTGTGAAAATACTTTTTATTTTTTGGCTTCGTCAGTGATCAGCTATTTTTTTCCCCCGGGTATATATACACGTTACCGCAACGAAATAATACGGAGCGAGCGCGCACCTCGCTAATGAACTCGAGAGTAAGTTAATAGAGAGAGAGAGAGAGCTTCCATCCGAGTTTTATTCGTTTTCAAACTTGCCTTTCAATTTACCTATTCAACCTGACAAGATATCAAATTATTGCGTGTATATGAAACGACGTATATTTTTGTGAAAAAAAGTAAATAAATGGAACATGCCTCACCGACGCTAAGTCGGCTTATTTCTGTAAACCGTACTGATTTTTTAGCTTTTTACTTTTTGCGAGAGCGCCAAGTAAGCTTGTTACTAATGTTTACAGCATTACGCGGCAAACGTACATGATACGAAAATATCAACGAATAACTTCGCGTTTTAATCTCGAGTTGAAATAGGATTTTCCAAAGTAGGGCATTTAAAGGCATTATGCATATTCGTTCGAATCTCAATCGGACCCATCATTGTATTTTAGATTAAGATAAAAATTGAACGGATCAAGATTGTACGCTCCCGACGAGTCAGCTACTATCTACGCTCGAGCGATAAGTCAGCTCGGTATGTTACATTTTTAATTAGCATAAGAAAGAAAGCCAATAAAGTTAATGAATAAAAGGATTTTTCAACTTTAAATTGATACTTCAAGGCTCGCTTCGATCCGCGACCGATTAGAAATACTTTTATCGGTTTTAACGCGTGCTTATATCGCTGCGTATCACATTTATTGCCAGTACCATTTCCAAATATTTTCTATATCTTCATAATAGTGAGAAAGTCGAAACTAAGTGTACATCTTATTTTTATCATTTTAACGCGATCAAGTAGTCTATTTATGAAAATGTCTGAAAAAAGTCAAATTACCTTCCTGCATGATTATAACTGTAGAGCATTAAGACGATAAAATGATGAAGAATTAATGAAAAGCTCTTGAACTTGGAATGATTTTATTTTAATATCAACGAACATCGTAGGCACGTAATTATCTGAAACATATACATAATTACACTCATTTCACTCATTTCACTCAGCTACTGCATGAGTCAACCGAATACTTTATCCACTACTGCACTTGATTGAATTTCGAGAAATATGTTGAACATTATTTTATTGGACATTTGTAATAATTAAGTATAAAATTAATGTTTATCGTTGAATATAAAAAGTTGTTCATGCTCAAAAACGCGAGTGACAGATGTTATAACAAGCTCTGATTAAGAAAGGACAAGCCGCTTTTGACATTTTTAATTTTTCATTTATTATTTAACTTTCATTACTGCTCAAAATAGTGAAAAAAAGTTCTTGAACGGAAGTTCAGACACGAGCATAAAATTATTGCGAGACTCAAATTTTATGATATGTCCAAAAACTAAACTATTTTATCTCTTTCCGAATTTCATAAGAAAGGCAACCATTTTATACGTTTTTTAAAATCATGATTAACGAATGTAATTCAGTAATAAAGTACAACTTTTGTTCTTTTCCACCCACATTTTAAAGTTATAATGTAGATAGAATAATGTAGCAAAGTTAAATTTTCTCAATATCAAACTAGAAACTAACTTACTTTAGCTTTTACGCTATAAAGAATTCATCTAATTTTTCAATTTGATGTTTCAATGAAAAATTTAAATAAAAGTTAATGATTCAGATAGAATGCCGAGACAAATATGGTATTTTCAAAGTTTTGTTAACAAAATAATTAATTAACGGTGAGCTGCGAGTTGCAGGATTTCGAATATGACGTCCTTAATTGGTTCAAATCAAATAAGGAAGTGACCTACAGGATTTGCCAACTAACTTATAGTTTCAAAAGGTTTTTTTATTCATGCTGGCAAAAACATGGCCAATGATATAAATCATGTAAATATCTAGAATGCGGAGTGAATCATTAATTTCCTGAATTAATGCTTTTGTATATATTTAGACGTATTTCTGTGGTCATCGGCATTATTCGACGACAAATAAAAAAGTATTTATAAAAATCTAAATTGCAGCGGAAAATAAGATCGTTAAAAGTTGGCTATATTTCGTTTGCGCTCGGTGGGTTGTTTATCATTACATTAAAAATACTCTTCAAATTTTGCCTTTTATAATATTACGTTATAACGAATACAGTGCCCGAGCAGCAGCAGCATCAGCAGCGTACGGTATTATTGTTGACATTGCAATAAAATAAACAGTTGAATCCCAACTCTGCAGTTTATGGAATAACGAGCTAACAAGTTTTCGAATTAATCGCTCCACTTGGATTATTTCACGTATATAACTGAAATTACGTCCAAATGAATTAGTTGTTGAAAATGCAAATGAATAAATTATCGTGCGCACCGGTAATGGATTGGCGAATGCAGTATATTAATTTATTTACGTTTGTTTGCGCGTCATTTGTTTTATCGAATATTTTTTGTTCTCGTATCGTGTAGCCAGGAGGCGAGAATGTAAAGGGCCACGCGCGGCTCGTGGTGCGCCGCGTCTCTTTTTCTCTACGCGCGAAAACACGCGATAAGTCAGCGAGTGATAGGAGCGATGACTAAGAGAGCGAGAGAAAGAGAAATGGACGAAACTCGAGTTGCAGCTGCACGACGTACGTTACGGGCTCGCGCGAGAAGAAACCATAAACGGGCGAGAGAAAGAAATCTCCGCTACACGGACCAAGTGATACTCGAGAGGAGAAAATTCAATCGAGCAAGTTTCACGAAATTCTGAATCATGTGTACAATCACCTGTATATACTCCAAACGCAGGTAAGAGTCAACTGACAAAATTGCGCGGATGAATCAAGTGGATGATTAAACGCGCGAAATTACGCTGAAATTAATGACGCCGGGATTACGTCATACTGCGCGAAATATACTGCTACTGCCTACTCGGTGTACACTTGACACCTGCATGCTAAAATCGGCCCACACGCGCGTAGCGTGCTCGCCTATACGTGTATATCGGCATTTAATCAGCGACGATCTTTGAAAAACGACACGATCGTTTATTCGAGCGTATATAATAATCTTCAAGTGGCCTGCGAGTGACCCGCGACTGACTGCGTCCGTTGAATAATCGAAAAACAGCAGCAGCTGCCGCAGCGGATTACCCAACTAACGCTTCGAGTTCTCTTCCAGCGACTCACGGATGTATCACGGCTCTTTTTTTCACCTACCTACCGTACGTATTATATAGGAAGACGCGGCCAAGTACGCGTGCAGAAGCTTATTTCGAGCGAGGAGAGATCAAACTTCATTCGGCGCTTCATTCAATTGCGCGTGAGATCAACAAGTGTTCCTTTTTTCTCCGCTCAAATCTCGGCTGCGAAGCGCGACTAAATTACTATATACACATGTCGTGAATTTGTATCACTCGTGTCGACGGCTTTGTATCACAGACCTGTGTATGCACTCGCTATTTAGTTTTAAAGGCAAAAAATCCAATCGTGCGATAGCCCTGTGCGTCGTACGCTAAAGCGAGGGTCGAGGCCAGTACTTTGAAAATTCGAAAATTCGAATCAGAGTGCAAGAGTAATAACCGACAAGAGATAGGCTTGGAAAGGAAGCCCGAGGAGGACTCGAACGCGAGCAAGAGCCAAGAAGACGCGAGTGTAGTGTGTGTGTGTGTGTGTGTGTAGCGAAGACAGGACTCGAGAGAAGAGAGAGACTGCAAAAAGCGAGCCGCGTGGAGGGGGATCGCGACTCGGCACACTGCAGAACTGTCTAACACAGTACAATACGTTGGCGCGGGGAACCGGAGCGCCGCCGAGCGACCGCCGGTTGAAGCAGCGCCAGCGACTCTCCGACTCGGCCGACAGTTTCGAATCGACGTTCGTGCGCGTCGCTCGTCGTTGCCCTCAGCTCCGACGTCTGCGCTCGTGTTGTGTGTTGAAAGCCCCGTACGTGTGTGCCGCTGTGACCGAGTCGCGCGCGCCCTGCACTTCTCTCCCAATAGATGCATGCATGCCATTTCCATATACTCGTACGATACATTCATATTTCTCTATGCTCTAACGGCCAAAAGCCCAGTTGAATAGACGAACGCGCGTCTATTATATGTGATTCTGTGCATGCGTATACGCGACAGTTCCGAAACATAAACACACACAAACTACTCGTGCCGTAACTAACGCGTGGTGCTCGATGCTCGTCATTCAGACTTGCTCGCCAAAAAGCTCGAATTTACCAGCTTAACGCAAGTCGCTAAAAACTCGTGGGCCAACTTCTCGCGCAGTTGTCGTGAGTGGCGGCGGTTCAACGACCATGCAGAACGTTGATTCAACTGCAGATTCGCTGCTTCCTTGACGAGCTGTTCCATTATATCAGCGATACATGTCAACGTGTGTCTGCCAGTGCAGTTGTTCAGTGCTCGTTACATGCTTATGCAATTTTGCTAATTATTAGCAGTGAGAGTGTGTGTATATGTGTGCATGTGTGTATGTGTGTTGCTGTGATTAAAAAGTGAACCTAAGGCTCGTTACTGAGGCCGCTAATAAGTGTGTAAGCCTTCGACGCGCCGCCTCTCGAGTTCTTTCGTTTTAAAAAGTGCTCTATTCAAGTTATTGTTTGTTATTGCTGTTATTTCTGTGGTACGAATATATATATTTGAAAAATATATGTATATCTGTGTGGTGCAATTGTGTGTCGGTGTAATCATTCAAAAGTGATATTAAGCACTATAGTTCAGCTTTACGTTAGTGCTATAGCCGTAGTAAGACTACTACTACTATACTACTACTACCACCGGCATCGTAGTGTCAGCGAGCATATAGCCGACGAGTCATTCATCCACCAACGGAATTAGCACTTGACGGAATCGTATTCTTTTGCTCATTTCTTCGTCAAATATCTGATTCTCGCCATACTATAACGGTGAGTTTTTTTCGTTTTTTTATTTATGCCGTGCCTGCTTGCTACTGCTGTACAATATACACAGGCAGGGATATCGTGTGTTTGCGTACTCAGCTCGTTAACGACTCGATATTAAAATGAAAAAATAAAAAAATAAAAAGGCAAAAAATACTGCTTTTTAGCTGAGTTTTTTCTGTTTAATATTCGTTCGCAGAAATCAATGGGAAGCATTGCTGCTACTCGGCTGTTGCCTTTTTTTTTTATTATATTCGAAACGGAAATAGCATTTAAAATATATACATATACACAAAGATTATACGTTGGATTTGTGCGCGCTGGCGTACGTATGTTTGTGTACTGAATCTATCATTTTACGCGCGTAAATGCCCCGTGTGCAAGTGTGTAAAAAACGGAGCCTGCAGGCGCGTTCGCTTTCTTTCTTTCTCCCGCTCACGATCTCCTTCATAATATCGTTGTTATTGTATGTATGGGAAATCGGAGCCGGTCTCTCTCTCTCTCTCTCTCTTTCTTTTCTCCTCTCTCTTACTCGTTCACTGCTTCTATTCCTTTACGTCGAAGCATCCGTGTAATATACCAACACACATTGTGGGATATATAAGCAAACGCACAGACTCCGAAAAAGGTACAATCTGCGAGAAGACGTATACACGCACAGAGATAGACGTCTCACGCTCCACTCGTATACCTATATGAGCTTATGATTGTGCCTGTGTTTGTGTTGGTGTATGTGTGGAAGATATATTTCTCTTAGGCTTTTGTGCGCCCGAGCTCGGCCGGTGCGAGCGACAGGCGTGCTCTGCGTTTTTCTATTATATACAATATTGGACAGCCACCGTCGGGGGCGGCTTCTACTCAATTGTCACCTGTTTTCGCCTGATTAATGTTGCGCGTCCTTTGATTTGTCGTTTGATAACGCACGAAATGGTAAATAAAAGGCTGACCGCGTCGTGTTCTCTACACGATACGAGCGCGTACCTAGACAAGAGGAAATGATATTTTGTTACATTGTAATTGCAATGAAAAAGCTGAACGCGAATGAGCTGACTCCGCGCGAATAATTAATCGATTCGCGCTCTGAATTCGAGACATTATAATAAATTGATAATCCTGCTGGTTGGCGGGATTATTGTTTTTCCTCTCGCTCTCTCCTACTTTCTCTCTCTCGCACTGCTTGCGCCTCTTCGAATATGTGTACCTTTTACAGTTGAGAGTCGAGTTGCGCAACGACGTTTTGAGATGTCTTTGAAATATCACACCGATCCCCGAGATTTGCATGGAAATGTAATTCACATTCGAGGAAGATTTGTTTCTCTCCCTGTTTTTTTAACGATTACTACGTTGCCACAGCCACATACGAATTAATATTATTATACGATATTATTATATTATGTGCTGTCATCTCTCTATGCTCTGGCGTATTCGTACGAATTAGTAGATATAATAATAATTTAATAATCAAAAGACGAGATGAACGTGGAACGAGATTTCAACTGGCGATATAGAAAAGGTTTAATAAAAAAAGAAGAAGTAACCGCACGACGTTGCCTATGAAACGGTATAATTCACGTTTAAACGATTCATCTTTCTTAATATTTCTACCGGTTTGTCGAGTTTCTGCTGCTGCTGTCCTCTGCTCTGCACTGCTCTGCGTCGTGAATACAACTATATACACACAAACAAACAGAAAGGCGGAATTGAAGGTAGAGAATATTGTCATTCGCGGCGGAGGTATGAAAAAATAAAACCATCCATCATCTTTCCAAATCGCGCTTAATTCATACAAACGACTGCAGAAGCAAAAAGTCGCGCTGCAATAGTTATAACAAAAAAATATCAATGCGCGATCGAAGAGTTTATAAGAGTGGAAGCCAATGGGATATATGTGTGTGTAGTGTGTTATAGTGTGGCTGCTGCGTCTCGCGCGCGCGTGTGCAGGTTGGTAAGGATAATACGGACGCTTAAACAGCAGCATGAAGCAGAAAAACCGGTTTCTCGTGCTCGCTTGCTCGCTCGCTCGCTCTCAGTTCGCCAAGCCCCGAGGAGTCGCTCTCTAGCCTGTACTTTCATATTGCGTATGTGAGCGTGTGTGCCCGAGTACGTCGCTGTATATATGTATAGCGTACGGAGCAAAAGGGATACGAACGTATAGATCGAGCTACACACACATACACATACGTATACACGAGGATCGAGCAAAACAGCCCGTGAAGCAAGACTCGAGAGTTCGCATATAGGTACAGACACACTCGTACGTGTAAAGGAGTATGGGATTAGTAGTAGGGATATAACTAAGCAGGTGACGCTCTTTCTCCTTCTCCCCTTTTCACTCCAATGCGCACACATACGTGCATATATATATTCGTACGCGTTACACATACTATTGCACTTTTGTGTGTATGCACACGTGTGTTTGGCCGAACGCGCGTACCTATATGTATGCAGCATGCAGTAAAGAATATAATGTACCGTTCGACGTTTTACCGGAGTGAGACGCTACCTTGCTCCTTGCGTATACGTAACTATATACATTTCCCGACAATGATCGATGCTCTTTTTCTCTCTCATTCTCTCTCTCTCCTCCACACGATCGATTCGAAGTGAATTTTAAGAAGGAAGAGAAAAAAAATTTACATATTTTGGGATGCGCGTGCTAAAAACGCAAAGGAGCTCTTATCTCGAGTGCTCGCGCTCTCGGAGGAGTGTAATAACGTTAATACGGGAGGATTGGAAGCAGCAGCAGTAACAGCAGCGTCGATTTCGAGGGCAGTGCGCGTCATCTTCCTCGTCGATCGCGCGCGCGCGGGCGCGTTATAACGGACACTCGGGGCCTGCGTGGGTTACTGCTGTGTATCATATTATAGGCTGTGCGCGCCTGCCTCCTATATTATGCTCGATATTTCGCGATCGAGAGAGAGAGAGCCGAGTCGGCTCCTCGCTGCCTTCTCAATTGCCTCGAGTATACGACACAATTATTATATTTTTGCGCTGTCCCACATAAATATATTTAGTGTTTTTTCTCCAACGGTGCTTAATCATAAGCGTAATGCCAAAATAATTACGCCAGCAGCAGCAGTAGCAGCTCTCACCACATACACACAGTACGCACACACAGCACGCGCGCCATATACAGAGGCATGTAACAATTTGTCGCGAGCGAAAAGGAAAAGACCGCACGACGACGCCTATACATGTAGTAGTCTGCCTGCAGATGTAGTGTGTGGAGTGCAGCGCGTTGCTAGTGAGGAGGCCGAGGTGCGCGCCACAATGCACATTCCCTGCGAGTCGCACCTGCGCGACAACTAGCCGCGGCGTCGTCGTCGTCGTCGACAGCTGACGGACGTGTAGCAAGTGCAATGCTCGCGCGCGGTGGCGGCGGCGGCTCGTGGGAGGTTTCGCGTCTCTCTTCGCACGCAACAGCGCCAGCAACAGCACACACACACCTACACTTACCCTACATAGTACGTAGCTCGCGACCTACGTATATACTTGAAGCTCTTCTTGAGGCAGCTCCCAGCTATTACGCAGCGACTCGGCTTTATATTTTTTCTCTCCACGCTGCTTTTTTCAAATACGTACTATTTCTGAGCTGGAACGCATAGCACTGAAACATGAAAAAAACACGTAGTATTTCTATCCTATACTCTGCATCGATTGTTTGCACAATGTGTGTCACTTTTCCAACGCGAAGCGCGAAGAATCGCGCGCATGCGAAGACATGTAAAAAAATTCCTAACCGCACGCAGCTCGAGATCTAGATTTTTATTAGTATATATCATTACAAAGTCTAGCGTCGTTCTCTGCTGCGGTTTTACTTTTTTTCCCCCTCGCGCGAGCGGCCTTAGGTGGTGGGTATGCGTTAAAAAAAAGCTGCGCGTATATACGCCAGGCACCACGAGTGGTTTTCCTCTCGACCACCGCTGCTGCTGCTGCTGCTGCGCCCTGCGTGTGTCTCCGCTACGCCCGTTGTATATGTGCGTACGCGCACAAACATGTACACAACAATTATCCGCAATTGAAAAAAGCGACAGATATATAGCTAACGCGTGCGCTGGCGGAACGAGCTTTAACTTACCTATAAGTACGACTCTTTATGTGTATAGACAGCTGATTCGCTTTTGTGCGTCGTAATTGAAGACGTCGGCCGAGTAATTGGTCCTTTTCTGCGCTTGTACAAGCCAAATTCATCACATACGTTGGCGAGATCAATGGATTTGCTCTCTCCCTCAGTCTCTCTACTACTGCATAGCTCCTGCAATATTGAACTTTTTTTCAAGCTCGCAACTGGCCAGCTTCGGCCGAAATAATCCCAACCATTATCGATAAAGAAAGCTGGCCTTTTCTTTCTGAGCTCGTGTTGTTACGAGAGCATAGGCAATGCCATTACATAGGCTTGGTCAAATATATGCACATAAATACGTAAGTACAGACTGCAGTGCGCATACACACACATATTAGACATTCCATTCTATATTGAGAGAAAGAGAGAGAGAGCGCAACGCGTGCGGGAGCAATAGCATATATCACAGCTGAGCAAAAGGGAGAGAAATATATATAAGCTAGCTGTTGTTGTTTTATGTGTTATAACAGTGTAGCCGAGGAGGCAAAATCTCTCGCACACACATACTCATCCTCTTTGTCCGCTGCTGCTGCTTCTGTTGCTGCCGGGTTATTGCTACAGAGGACTTAGCAGCAAAGTGTAATGCTATTCGCAATTCCAATCTCGAATCTCACTTTTCCACGTGTATGCGCGCGCCCGGGCTCGGGATCTCGGTGTCTAAATCCCTTATATTCTCTCTCGCTCGGCCTCACTCTCTCTCTCTCTCCTCCCTGGGCTCTATGCAAAACAGAGAGAAGAAGCAGAGCAAGCCTCTCTTCGCGTATACGTACTCTGTACTGGGGCATAGCACAGGCCTGTATAATAGCACTGGCTGTGATAAAGTCTCCAGCTCTCTCTCTCTCTCTCTCGCTCTCTTCAACGCAGTCTCTGCATGTACACGATT